TTCTGGGACACAGCTCCTACTTACTTTGCTGTCACAGGCAGGCCATTGATCTGGTTTTTGCACAACCTTGGTATATGCACGCCCAGCTCTGGATGCCAACTGCGCAACTGTTAAAAACTAAGAAAAAAGCCTATTGTTCATCAGGTCAGGTTAACCCCAAACTAGTTCAATTTAATTAGCATTTGCCTGCCTGCCAGAGTAGCTTGTCATTTGTACTTGAAAACATCAAGCTCGCTGACTGATAGCGGTAGGTTATTCTAAGCCTAGAAGTAAAAACTTGAACTTAAATGACACTGAGGGTTTAAGGAACGCATGTTTTGCTCTCTAGCTCTTCTCCCAATAGTCTTCTCCCAAAACCCAATTAAAGCTTATTCTGAACACAGAAAACACCTGACCAAAGGTCTACCAGACCTCTCGTCCAAATGACAGACTCCAGGAAAAGTTGCTTGCAATGCCACCTTGGAACAGAAACCTGGTTTAAAAGAACTCTTCTCATAGACTGATGGACCAGCACACTCACTAAGATAGTTATATAGGCCTAATTAACAGTTGTTACAATTTACCTTCACCATTCTTCTGTGAGATAAGGAAGAGGGCTTATTTCTGTTTCACAGACTAGGAAATTCAGCATGGAATGACTGGGGCCAAAACTTTTAACATTCATTAAGATTCACTTAATATTTTCCTCATTTAATACTCATTAAATGAGAAAATAGTCACTAAAGCACGTGACCTGACTAAACCCAGCGAAGAAATAAATGGAAGAGAACTGAAACTAAGTGTTTCAAAGACTCAAGAACACACTCCCTGCTTTGATGCGCTTCTTGAGGAAGAAACGTTAAAACAAACAAAAAACTCAAATACAGCAATACCTCCAACTCCAAAAATGAAATCATTATTTCTACCAGTGTCACGTCCAGACTGGCCATAACTAAACGATCCCATAAATGTATAGCTCAATCTGATAATTTCATAGACACTAAGTTAACATGGTAGGGAAAAAGGGATAATGACAACAATTTTCAAGACTATACACCCCAGATAAAGTCATGTAATTTCTAATAAATTGTCTTAAAGAAGCATTAAACAGCCACATTTTCAGCTGGAGTGTCAAAGCTCAGCACTGTTCGGTTTTCACCTCAGTTTTCGCTAAATATTTATCTAATGGTTTAGAGGCCACATTTAAGGAGGGAAACCTCTGATTTCTATTAACTGTCAATAGGTTTTGGGTACCATTCCTAGGCCAAAGGATGCCTTAAAGTAGGCTTTTATGTCTCTACTTAGTCTGCTAAACTTGCACCCTCTCCCTCCCCCTTTTTTTTTTTTTCCTCTTTTAAGTACTGCTGCACACCCAAAAAACTGTCAGTATCACTGGCAACTGCAGAACGTCCCATGCTTCCGAAGGTCTGGCAAGTGCCTAAGCAGAGACTTAGCAACCTCACTTCAGCCAACTCGTCTGAAAATTTAGGCCAAAATCTCCTGGAAAGCCTGGAATCATTAAACCAGTTCACTCCAAGTTTGAAAACTGAGCAGCTAGTTGGAGATAGAAAAGGGTCTTCTGTTTTTCTTTTTTACGCTTGCAGGATTAAAGTCATAAAGAGTAAACTAGAGAGACAGTTAGCAGAAATATTCAGTGCAATTGCAAGGAGCTGTTCATCACTTGCACAATCTTTTTGTGGCACTTAAATCTTGTACCACTTAATGCCATGTACTCAGGTCTGGTTCCACAAAAAAATATAATCCAACTGTTTTCCTCTGCAGACTCATGATTATACAGCCCTGCTTCTTCCACTGAGAGGACAAGTTGTTTTACTCACAGATATCACACATAATGAGCCTTTTCCCCATTTACATGAAATACTACGCTTTGCATATTTTATATTCAGAATATATAGGGCTTTACAAGTGACAAGCATCATGTATATAACCCATAAGTCACTAGACTTGGCGCATTATTTTTGCTAGGACCTTTACAGCAGTTTTAACAGCTAAATGAAATCTGTCGGCCTATCCTCCACTAGAGCTCATTTAATAAAGAACGTCAATTAGGAAAAGCGTGGCCAGAGAAAAACTGACACACCATTCATAGCTAAAATTATAAATACACTAAGTATACACACTCAGCCAAACGGAAAGTTTACCAAGTATGAGATGGGCTGAACATATTGTCTACCTTTCTTGAATTCATCATCCTTTTAGATAAGGCACCAGACTGTAGTACAATATTCCAAATCAGGTTTTGCTAGTGAAATAAAGGTTATCCACCCATTCTGTGGCACACAAAAAGAACAGAACAGCTTTGATAACTGACAGGGAGGAAACGCTTGTAACCAGTTCGTCCCTGCCTAGACCCTGAAAGGAAACATCCCGACAATGAGAGCTGTGGAGGGAACGTAACGTCCACCCACACTTGGGAACTGGAAGGTTCAAGAAAAACAAACAAAAAAATCCCCAGGGAGCCCACCCATCACAACTGATGCATTGCCTCCTAGCAGGAGGAGGCATAACTATGTTTCTAAGAACGTGCATTTATTTGTGAAAGAAAAGGCGATATGAAATTATGCGCTGACATTTGAAGACAACTTTCTTCAATTCACGAGTTATAAATTAATGAGTGCCTCTGTCCAGCAATCTGCAGTTAAGCATACCACTATTCAACAGCCCCAGATTCTTCCTCAGTTTTATGTTCTGTACTCCTGTGGTATGACCAAAAGTCTGCAAGGAACATTATTAGCTAGTAATAAGACTCTGCCTTTTACTACTGTAACTATTAAAAGACAACTGACTATCACTTTCTGCTCTTAAAACATGTAGAGTAACTTTCCATGTTAAGCAAAATACACAACATTATAAAAACAGCACACAGGGCATCAGTGAAGTTGGCAGAATATTTGCGTTCCTTAGCCTGAAACAAAGCTTAAATAAAAGTTTTAAATATAGTTCTCAAGCTGTGATGTTAAAAAAATGCTTCCAGCACACTCTGGAGCAGTAAATGCAATCATTTTCAGGTCTAGACTGACGTATAGCAAATAGAAGATTACCAGCAGTAAGGGAGAATGCCCAGTCTGTCTCCAAAAAGGGTGTGCACGCATTAGTATACTATCTTTAGCAATGGACAAGACAGGCAAGAGAGCCAAGACACTTTTTCTGGCTTCCAGAGCTGTTAACGATATGGGAAATACCCTAGAAGTGATAGCTAACATATGTCCTATCCTTCATGAAATACCAAGGGACGAAATAACATTTTTCATTTAGACATTTTTAAAAAATGAATCCACAATCTAATAAACCAGTATTTATCTTGGCAGTTCATACCTTCCAGAAAAAGAAAAAAAGATTATTGCAATAAAGTTAAATATTTTAAAGGACATAATGAAAAATAAAATAAAATAAAGAAAAGACGAGAATATCTTTGAAGGTAATTCTTGACCAAATCGATGAGCTGTGCATTTATCAAAGTGAAGAAAACACGAATTACAAATTTTTACGGAATCATTAAATAGAAAACTTGAATTAACCTAAGGAAAGTTTACTACTCTCTAGATGCTGAATCTTCATTTTTTAATCCCATCAGATAAGCCAAGAATTCCAAGCAACTCAAAGAAGTACTTACTACACAAGATGAAGACCACTGCACTGATACAAGCTATAGCCACAGCTCTCTGTGTAATTGCTCACAGAGAGTTAAGACTCAAACACTGCTACTGTTCATTAATTTTGTTAATCACTTACTTTTAGTAAAAGTTCCTAGATTCTACCCCACATTAAACTAGAGCCCTAGTCTATTTTCACATGGGGGGGGGTGCCTTTTTGGGACACAGGAGGGAGGCTAACAGGCTCTTGATCCTCACTTGTAATTTTGACTTAACTGCACAGTTTTACAAGTCTGACATATTTAACTAGAGGAAAAAGTTTACTCACTACGCAGAGATCATTTTCTAAAATTTCTGTTTTTCATAACCAGTTTATGAAGACTTCAACAGTAACTCCCAGGTCTAACATGCATTCAGAGAAACACTTAAGAATTTTATTGCAACTATTATTAAAATCAATCAAGTTAAAAGTTACTAGCAGTCAAAGTCATAGGACTGAAAATCTACATTTTCTAGTCACACCTTCCAAAACTGAAACTCTTGTCAAACATCGAGCTTTTGATTAACTTCCAAAACAATCATAATATATATGGCTGTCTCTAGAAACTAATAAAAACTATGCACAAAGCAGGGTTTATAAGCTGGTACACAGGCAGACACCATAAATAATGCACAGTACCCTGAAGACTCCCAGAGACAAACCAAACAGGTGTGGCCCTTGGCAAAAACACTGCAAGAACCCTGGCTTCCTTCTTCATAGCTACCCAAAACGTTTAAACTATTAATGTTTTTCCATCTTGCATTAACTGCTCTGAATATTGAGAAGCTTTTTTTTTTTTTTTTTAAATCCCCAGTCATAGCTAAAATAGCTTATTATGACAGTTTACTGTGTCTTGGCATCTCACAGTTGCCAACATCTAAATGTTTTCCCTAGAAATTATAACATCAGTAAGTTACGCATCAGGAGTATGCCAAGGCCCAAACTGGAAAGGGTGTATGTTTGTTCTTGTGATGGTTATGTTATTTTTACATGAGAAATTCAGTTCAAAGATTGAATTTCTTCGCTAAAACTGATGAACCATTTCTTAGGTAAGTAGTTCCAGATCCGCCAGCA